GATTAATAGTACACTTTATATAGTACAGGATTTTTTAAAGATGCAAGTCTGAGCACAATTTGCAAATCTGTGAAAGTAGAATTTGTAAGGCAAACATTTTTAACAGTTAGTAGTTTGTTTCAAAAATGATAAGCATCGGAAAAGCCCAAAGGATAAATTAGTTGGTTTTCAAGGAAGACAAATTCTGTGGATGATATATTTTCTGCTATTTCATAATTTAATCCAAGATACATTCTTAGGAATCATGTCCCCCAAATATAATCTGCCTGCCCTGTATAACCCTTGAGGAAGGGAATGGTCAGCATTCCAAAGTATCATTGTGGTAGCCTTGTCTTTTGAAACAACTTGTCCACACATATGCACATGCCCTTGGCTATTGTCCTTCTGTAAGTAATTTTAAATATTGTTCAAACTGGCTTTTGACTTTTAGTACAGTTGTTGGACTATCTTTTGGGTCTGGGTCTTTTCCCTGTCAGACATTCACTAGGAGGACATATGCTTGGAGTCATAATTGTTAATTGAATGATTATTTATTCAATTCCATGTTCTGGGTTCATATCATTTACTGATTCATAAACCTACAGTACTACATTGGCCAGGTTCACACAACATATAAGTTTAAAACATGATTATTAGTTTATGATTTACAGTGCTGTGTATTTAGTTGCAATAAACTGTGTATTTAGTTGCAGTTGCCAAAAAGCATCAGTGATCTCCATATTGAGGAAAACACCATTAACTGATTTGTGTATGTTACACAGTTATTAACAAATAATGTACATTTTTAATGATCTGGTAAAAGAAGAAAATAGGGTATTTCAATGAACCTTGCATCATTAATAAGGTCACAATGTTCATTTAATTATTAAATTTGCAAATCACAAACTCTGAATGAGTTCATGTCTATGCAATCAAAATATTTAAGGTATGAGAAGTCTAGTTATAAACATGGGATTTAAGTAGTAAGAGATTAAAAATAAACATTCTCGTTACCCATCAGTTATCTCTAAATTCCAGAAACCCAGGAGGCATAATAAGACTACCAAGTATGACAAAAAAACTACTTGTGCTCATTAATCAACCAGGTGAATAATAAATAATTACTATTATGAAGTTGCTACCTGGTCAGATTTAAAACAAGTTCTGCCAAATGCTTGTCTTTTAATGAAGAAAACAGGAATATTTTCAAATTGTGCAGTACATGAAATATGAATATAATAGGGGGGATTTATTTTAAATTTATGATGCCTGGTATAATTTTCAGCTGGATCCTATCTCAATGGTAGGAAGCTATGCTGTCAAATTTCAGTAAACTTACAGGAACATTCCCCACTCCCTTTTCTCCTGCTTTAATAATTGAATGAATCTACTACTCATAATCAATATTATCTCTGTACTTGCGAGGGGGGGAAAAGACCAAAGCTATGGGAAAACAAATGAGGATTGCAAGAGAAAACAATGGCCAATACAAAACTTATGATAGAAATGTTCTTCGACTAGGTTTTGAAGAATGTGTTCGTACCAACTACTCAGAATAACCGATTTCCATTTTTTAGGCTACATTCTGATGTGTTTAGGATTGTTATTTTTTAATCCAACAAACTATAATTGGGACTATTAGTAGAACTTTGTGCAACGTATAAAATCAGCCCTGCATTTCATCCACGAATAGGGCTCGTATGTCGAAGATAAACACAGCACATTCAGAGAAACGTCCGATGTAAACTCCATTCTTAATAGTCCAGGTAGGAAAGAAACCAGCACTCCTGAATACATTCGGCGTTATTTGTTGCATCTGGGCTTGTATTGCGGACATTTTGAGAGCCTAACTCTTCCGTTGTGCTTGGTCAAAAGAAACTCGGGATGGGAAATCTCCTGCGGGGAGGGGAAAAATTAATCGGAAAAGCGTTTAAACAGCCATTCCTTGTAGAAATACGGCGCCACCGGCGAAAGACCGCAGCGGCTGAGACTACGTCTACCGTCGGCAAGGAGAGAAGGGTGGGGTTTGGACGAGGAAGTTCCGGGCAGCCTCTTCTGTGCCTCCGCTGCGCCTCCTGGCGGTCACTCCGGCACTTTGCTTCGGCTCACTCCAGCCAAGGGCCTCGTTGCCAATTTAACTGCAGTCGCAGCGAAGGAGGCGCCCAGCGCTCCCGCCCTCCTCCTCCTGCCTGCAACTCCCCCTCCGCCGCTTCCCTGCGAGTTGACTCGGCACAGTAAGCGCAGGGCCTGAACTCGGGCCCGTCCCGTTCGTCCCGCCGCCGTCATGGACATGAAGAAACGGATCCACTTGGAGTTACGAAACCTGACTCCTCCGGATGTAAGCCAGCCTGGGCGGGAAAATGGGAAACAGCCGGGGACGTCCTCCCTTTTCAACACAGCTTGTTCTCTCGCCATCCGTACACGCGCACACCGGCCCGAGGAAAGCGGGCTGGTTTTTTAAATTTAAAGCGCGGAGGGCGGGGTGGTGGTGGTGGCCTTAAAAGAGCAGTGGAGGGCGGGCGCTGCCAGGGAACGCCGCAAGTATGGCTGCGGGTCCAAAAACCAACGTCTGACGGACTCGAGAAAGGACTCCGTGGCCGCCATGTTTCCGCTGCTGCTGCGTCGGTCCCCGCGAGCGTGGGCTGCCGCTGCGGAGGAGCGAGAGGGTGCCCCGCGTGCGCGCAGCAACCGCTTCGTGTGTGGCGCGCGTTTCCCCCCCCCCTCTTAAACGGGCAACCGTCGCGTGGAAGAAGGGGCGCGCGCGCTCTTTCCCGGCGCCGCGCCTGTTTTGCCGCTGGCCGTGCGCGCGCTCGGGCCTTCACTCCTGCCTCGCGTCCTCCCCTTTAAACGGGCCGCAGCTGCAGAGAGCCGGCCGCGCGCGCCCTCTTTATTCCGCTCTCCCCACCAAAACCGTGTTCCCGCCAAAAACTTCTCTCCTTTTTAACCCGTCGTAAAGGGAAGGTGCTTTTCGGCCAATTCTGATGGCCTCCGTGGCAGAATTTGAAAGATTTGTGGTGATGCGTTTCGAGTGGCGACACGCTCAAGGTGGCCTCGAAGGGCTTTTGTGGTGCGAAATATAACAAAATGTGTTGCAGCCTAATTTTTTAAAAAGCAGTAAAGGGGGCGATACTAAAGTCTTTAATGGGTATCTTACCAGGACGATTGGACCAGAAAAGTATGTTCGTGCTCTGAAGTCGTTTGATTAAGATTATTTTTAAATAAAGGTTCCTATTGAATATAAATATCTTACCATACATAGTTAAAAGATAAATCAAAGGTTTTTCCGTTTTTTTTATCTGCCTGTGGTTTCCTAACATATCTGAACTTTAAACCATGCTGTTGCTTCTTTTTTTAATCCTTTATATTTTTCAACAGTCTTCATGTGTACTCTGATGCCAGGAGAAAAAAACCCTACACATTTCACTTGTTTATTTTAAGGCAGAAACTATAAGTTGTCGATGTGTCTCATCTCTGGTATCCTAGTAAAATATTTGTCTGCCTAAAAATATTAACAAAAACCAGCTTGGTATCCCAGAAAATAAAACAGGTACATAATTGTACTATACAGTTTGTATCTGCTGAGTTTTGGCTTCAGTTAAAGTTGGAGGCCATTTCTGGCAAGTATCTTAAAATTGTCCTGTGTGTTACTCCATTCTTATGCATCTGTCAGCCCAAGGTAGTTTCAAGTCTACTCAAAAGAGCCTGTAGAGAAGGATTATTCTCTTTTAAACTTGGAATGAAATAAGATTATTCAGTCACCTTTGATCTTGATTTTTTTTGCTTCACGTATGGATACTTTGAAGAGATGAATAGTATTCTTTAACAATATATACTTGCCTGTGGTTAACTTAACCATTATGACTTTCTTTAATGCTGAAACGTAATAGGAAGAGAGAACACTATCTGTACCATATTGTACAAAATTAAGCTGGAATATATATCTATTAAACTAAATGTTGCTAAGGGTTTTGTTAATTCAGCCACTACCATATTCCTTTTAGGGCCCTTAAAAAAGCAGGTGGCTTTTTAAATATGAGAATATTTATATTTAGAGAATTTGCCAAATTGTTTTAAAGTGTAGTGCAATATTCTTTAAATGGTACAGATAATATTTTATTAATGTTTATACAAACATTGCTCAATCATTTGTAAATATGGAAAAAATATCTACAATTCAATATGACTCACATGTATTTAAAAACTTTTTGTAGAAGTTGATCATAAAGATCAGTAGATATTTATATGGTGTCTAGTGAAAGGGCAAACTATTCCTTTTCTTACACTGATAATTTTATAACAATTTACTTCAAAATGCATTATTATATTGCAAACTTTGAAAATATCTTGTTTGGAAACACTATGAGTCTATTGTATAATCTGTGCTGATTTAACAGTTTGAAAAATGCATAGTTGTGTTACCGGGAATTGCTTCCTTAGCACTGAATTTGGCCTCTGATATGCTTTAAAAGTTTACTCAGAACATGCAGGCAGTCTTGTTTTAATTTCATAAAATTACTTGACTAGAAAAAGGAACATGAATTGGCTGTTCTTATATGCTAAAATAAATATGAAATATAATGATAACAGGCAGGCAGTCCTCTATTATATATAGACAATATGTTTTAAAATACTGGTAGGAGTAAAAGATAGCAAATAAATTTTGGACATATTTTTTTATTCCATTTTTAATCTACATTAATTATCATCAGTTTGTGTGTGTGCATGTATGTGGTTACACACATAAGAGCCAACAATAAACTCAGCTGCAAAATGCAATAAACTCAGCCCCAGTACATTTCCCAAAAATGTACTGGGGGATGTCACAGGCTCATGCAAATAGAACTTTACGCATTTGAGGCAGATAGAGTCAATTAATGTTCATGCTCCGCTAGACTAATTGAAATGACTTGCTTGTAGATTTTTATCTAATTCAAATTAGGTAGGTATGCTAGTACTGTACGAAATTCCCAAACTAGTTAAAGACGAATAATATTATTTTTACAGGGGAGATACACTGAGGTAAATTAGTAGAGGGCCAGCAGAGATTTATTTCCATTAAGAGAACCCCCAAATATATATTTTTTAAACTTAAATTATGTTTGTTGAAAGTGAAAATATGAACAAGCACAGAGACAGAATTTTTAAAAAATAAATGTAATTTTAGTAATCAGATACAGTTGTTGAAGTGAGAGAGCGGGAGAGCTATGCTGATTGGAAAAGCTCCAAATTCTGCCTAAAGCCAGATTTCCATCCTTCATTATCTTCATCAAATTTCTAACTTTCACAAGTAAATTATATAATTCTAATCAAATCTACATCTTGGCTTATTTTTACAAGGTTTTTGTTAGAGCAGATTGTTTTTTTACAGTAACAGTAGTGCAGGTATAAAGATTTCCTTATCACTGACAGGCTGGATTCTTCTGTCTTTTCCTGAAGACTTTGTCTCAGCTTATTTTGTCAGGATAATGTTTATCCCCAAACCATATTCCCAGAACTATAAGTGTTCTGATATCAGTACTTTTAGGTTCTTTTCCCATAGGACTTGCTATTCTTGTCTCATACTTTTTCCTTCTACCATATTTCCTGCTGATCTGTCTTTAAGGTGTACTCCCTTTAATAAGAGGCAAAGACCTATCAGTGTTAACTTTCAAGGACTTTTTCCATTGAATGAAAAGTAATGTTTTGATTCTATGAATTTATAAGCATAACTGCCAAAGCCTTCATTGTTATATTTAGTCATCAACACAAATTGTTCTATGTGTTTCATATAACAAACATATTGTAACATAGCTTAAGCAGACTTTTAGAGAAGTTAGTGTCTGATTATAATACTGATGTTAAATTTAAAATGCCCACAGATTCCACATCATCATGCTAGCCAAACCAATGAAGGAAAGCCCTTAGCCATCTTTTTATACATGAGTCAAAATGGAATGATAGAGCCTGTTGCAAATTATTCTTATAATGTCTATTGCTTATCTTTGTTGCACATCTCATGTGATCTCAAAGAAAGAAACTGCTTTAGATAATTAAAAGGTAACCATTGGTTTCATTTATCTGCTGCTCTAGCTCCATAGCTCTGTAATTAGGACATTCAAAGTTCTCACTGAATAGTTGTCCAATTTTCATCCTATTTTGTTTTCCTATTAAGCAAGGGGTGGAAACCTTTGGTGGCTAAGGATCATATTTAATGTTTGGGAGAAGGGCTACAGTAGTCAATGTAATTATACTAATTGGTGGGACTGGTTTACGTTTTTAGTTTTTTGGGTCATGTGGAAGATTTTTAAGCCTCTTTCCTGGTAGACAAAATAGGAGACACCCTTTCAAATAAACTGTTTTAAACATTCAGTTCTTTATATGTTAATATCAACACCTTGAATTTGAATTGGAAATGGGCTGTTAGTAGAGGTGGCAAAGTACAGTATTACTTACTAGTATGATATGATTGAGCATATTTTTTTATTAATGTGTTTGGTTTAAATCAGTTCCCTCCAATCTCTCCAGCTCTGAGGACTGGCAGCAGCGGGGTGGGGGGGGAGGGGAGGGGGGTGACTTTACATGCGCACCCACCACAAGCACAAATGGAGCTTCGCATGCCCACTGCTTGTGCGGCTCGGGTTCAGGCTGCAGACTAGGGATTGGGGGGGCCCTGACTTAAGTCATTTTAGGGCTTATTGTCTATTTTTCATGTCAAAGACAAGTTTTTAGCAGTTGTACTCAAGACAGCTAAAAAGGGAAGCTCAAGAGTTGTAGATTGCCAGTTCTGCTCTAAGAAATAGGAGAAACTTTTGGACCCATCATTTTCACTAGAGGCTCAATGGATGCTCAACAACACTTTTTATCATCTTTGGCTGATAAAGCCACTATGACATAATTGGACACAAATAGCTTTGCAGTAGTTATTCATGCTCTAGTAACCTGCTATTTGTATTATTACAGTATTACAATACGCTATACTGGAAGCTGCCTTTGAAAACTGTAAAAACTCCATTTAATTAAAAACAAGATACAGTAGATTACTAATTGACTTATGCAATTACATTATACTGTTACTTTGCCATCTATACTGTCCTTTCAGGTCTAATTGAAAGTGATGGGTATTAATATACATAAAGATGTAGGCTTTGGTGCAGCATATCCGAAAGAGCATGTCCTGTATTTACCAGAATTCCAACACCTTCACCCAAGGACCTCTTCAGGGTGCCTTCATCTAGTGAACTTGGATGATTGCAAAAAAAAAAAAAAATCCACTTGTAATGGTGTCCTGGCTATGGTGAAGTTTGTGTGTTGCTTCATTATGGAATTTTAAAAAATTATTTGTATCCTCCTTTATTATTTTTACATGTAACAGACATAACCAACACACTTCTCATACTTTCCTCACAACAATCACCTTGTGACATATGTTGGGCTGAGAGAAAGTGACTGGTCCAAAGTCACTCAGCTGACTTCTATAGCTAAGACATCCTCTTTATTATTGATTAACATTGGTGGTATTCTTGGTTTGTTCACATCTTTTATATTGCTTTATATGTTGCTTTGCATTCCATTATTTTACTGTTTATAATGTTTTAATTATGAATCATCCATAGAATTCCTGATATTGATAGTTATAAAAATACAACAAAAGAAATAATAACTTCATTGTGTGTATGTGTTTCAGGTTAAAGAGCTTGTTCTTGATAACTGCAGATCAACTGGTGGTGAAATTGAGGGACTCACAGAAGAGTTTGTGAACTTGGAGCTTCTCAGCCTAATAAATGTTGGACTGTTCTCTGTCTCAAATCTCCCTAAACTCCCCAAATTGAAAAAGGTAATGATCTTGTCTGTTATTTTATTGAAGGGCAGAATATCATGAAAAAGGTCTGTATATGGTCATTAAGAGTTGACTCCAACTTAATAACATGCAACTCAGTTTGGAAAGGGAAAAAAATCTCCCTTGTATTCCTAATTATTATTTTATAATAATTCTTATACTAAACCTTTTGGGACTAAGAGCTCCCAGCACTACCTGATTGTCTAGTAAGATCTGGATGGTAGGATTCCCTTTGGGTTTACAGTCTAAATGAGAGTTACTACAGTATCAACCATCATGAAGGTGGCCCTTTTCTCTTACTGCTTTTCTGTGGAACGATCTTCCCTGCAGAATTAGATCAGTGCTAATTATATTAAAACTTGGCTTTCCCAGGAAGACTTTAAAGTTTGAATCCTCCTTGTAGTATGAATGATTTGGATCCTTGTAGTGTGAATAATCATATAGTTAATATGATTATTCCTTAGCACAGAAAGACTTGGAATAGGTTTCTGTTATATTGTGTTACTGGATTTTTTTAACCTTTTTGTTGAATTGGAGTTTATGGTACATAGAACTTGCTACAGTTGAAGCAACATAAAAGCTTAAAAAATAGTTCCAGCCACTATATTTTATCTTATTTATCTTTTTTGGATCCTGGTTCCAATTGTAAAAAGTTGATTGATCTTCAAAGCTTTGAAATTCTCTGGAACACAGTACAATTAAGTTTGAGGAGAAAGTGATAATAAAAATGCTGGAATAATGAACATGTGTAAAAGGAGCCATTCTGGGAAAGCAGCTATTAAGCTGTGCATTTATTTGTGTGTTTGGGAGATGGGTTGCTAGGAATGGAGATTTAAAAAAAAAGGTTTTTAAGGCTAAAAAAATCACTTTATATTCAACGGCAAAGAAGATGCTTTAGAGCAGGTGACTGGACGCAGAACAGAACTACAACTCACAGCAGAAAGATAATATATTCATTCTCTAAAGCAAAGCTGGCTGGGGAATTCTGGGAGTTGAAGTCCGCCAGGCTTAAAGTTGCCAAGGTTGGAGACCCCTGCTCTAAAACACCATTTTGTCCATATCAGTAATGGTTACTCTTACACCTGTTACTAGCAACAAGATCTGTACCCTGTTGTAGATTTGGAGAATGAAACATTACAAGTACCTTATAGTCTCTGTGTCTTGCCATTTAGAAATGAAAATGGTAATGGGGGAGGAGCCAAGCATTAAATGCTTTCAATTAATAAAAATATGAGCTGGCAAACTTGATGACATTTCCTAAAAGATACAGTGTTTATAAATGAACAGATGAAATCACCTGTGATTATAGCTGTTGTTAAATCTATTAGGCATATAATATAATTAGCAGCTAAGAGTATGGAAGAAGTACATGAACATGCTTAATCAATATATCTTAGAATACAAGGTACTCTGTGCCCTATATTTCCCAAATAAGAGTAGTAATTCAGAATTAAAAATTAAAAGGTGCTTCAGAGTGTACTTAAGTGCATACTTAGTATCTGTCTGTAGCTCCTTAAAGAAGTTGCAATTTTTCCCAAGAATTTTTCGCGTGTGTCCCTTAATCCTGGAAAATTTATGTTTGAATCAAAGATTTGCAAATGGATGCCACATTCATACCTGCGTATACTCTAGGCCAGGGGTCCCCGACCGGTACCGGTCCGCGGAACAAATCCTACCGGGCCGCTGGTTTGCTGGGCACCGCCATCTTGTTTTGATGAAAAAGTGCTTCCGGTGAGCTTTTCCGGGTAGAAAGCTCACCGGAAGCACTTTTTCATCAAAACAAGATGGCGGCGCCCAGCGCTTCCAGAAAAGCTCACTGGAAGCGCTGGGTGCTGCCATCTTGTTTTGATGAAAAAGTGCTTCCGGTGAGCTCACCGGAAGCACTTTTTCATCAAAACAAGATGGCAGCGCCCAGCTGATGCCGGTACCGGGCCGCGGCATAAAAAAGGTTGGGGACCACTGCTCTAGGCCACTTGATCCAACAGAGAAGAACCTCATACATAATCTCAAAGTCTTCAAAGCCAACATCTGGGGTAGCCTCCAGTGGTGGGATTCAAATTTTTTTACTACCGGTTCTGTGGGTGTGGCTTGGTGGGCGTGGCTGGGTAAAGATATTGTAAAATCTCCAGTCAGAGGTGGTGTTTGCCAGTTCTCTGAACTACTCAAAAATTCCACTACAGGTTCTCCAGAATTGGTCAGAACCTGCTGAATACCACCTCTGGCAGCCTCCCATTGCCAAGGCATGGTCTTCACCCTACCAAGCAAGATAACAAATCTGTACTGAAAGAGACTGCAACCGTAATTACACAAGACTTATTTCTTCTGAGTGCTAAAGTAGTGACTTTTGATGACTTGCCATCTGATCAATAGGTTTACTCTTCTGATTTGAAGGAATCAGAAAGATCCACCCTCTTATCTGGATCCCATGGTTAGAGATCAGTCAGTGGGATCTCTGAAGAAAGTCAAACACATCCTGAACAGTTGATCAGGTTGCGTGTGGCTCTTGATCCATAGTTAAAGTAGATCCCACCTGAGTAGATAGCTTGTATTCTATTGTCTTCAGATGTTTATATGCCAGAAATATTGATAATATTCTGGCTTTGTTGAAATCAGTAAAAAAACACGGCAAACATCAGCCTCTATTCCTCCGAACAAAAAGCTGTTGCATTAAAAGAGGTAATAGCTTTTTTCTGGCATTTGGCCTTCAAATCATTGGTAGTTGAGGTTGCACCTAAAAAATCTGATGCAAAGTGTCTTATGGCCCTTACCGATAAAGGAGAACACAAATTGAATACTTTGCATATTTTTTTTAATTGGCAACAAAGTTATTGTTTAGAATGGCAATTTCCAAGCTTATAACGGCTAATATCAGATTTTTCTTTGTGAAAAGATGACCTATTTTCTATTGTATATGCTAGATGATAAATGAGACCTTGCTTCCGTTTTCTTAGCAGAGGGCTCCCAAATCTCCAAGCAGCAGATGAACAGCGCTGAATATAACACAGCTGCCTAAGTGGCTGACCACATTAAAAGGAGTTATTGCTCTCCACTGCTACATCTGATCAGGACCATTGGTGTCCCTTGAGATTCAGAACATAATGGAAAATCTCCTACTCACCACAGAAGTATTTTTCTTCTAGAGTATAGCTAATGCTATGGAGAAAGTCAAAATCCAAAACATTGCATGAGCGTGGCAATCATGCTAGTAAATAGCAGTGTCTCTGCTGCAAATAAGACCCATAGTTGGAATTAAGCTGCCCTTCTCTAGCATTGCAGTTGCTATAAGCTAGTGGGCAACATCAGGGAACAACTTTTCTCAAAACTGCTGTCTCCCCTTTTATTTTTACAAAAAACTTTTCAGAAATACTCCTAAGTATCATCTTTGATTTTTAGCATATAATCTCTAGGATCACTGCTTCAGTTCCCACTGGCAGCTGCTCTCCAAAGATAGAAATCCTACACTACAGAGTCTTAGTCTCAACTTTGATAGCTATGGAGCATACCATAGAATTCAAGCCTTGCAGTATTTATTGTTTATCCTTTCCAGTTCTGCATTGGTGTATGAAGTTTTGCTCAAAGCAAAAGTATGATCAAGTACCATGTGAATTGGAATTGATTATTTTGTCATCCTCAAAACTGACAATGAAGTGAAGCTAATAGATCTTTGCAACTCATCAAATAATATTTAGCTCAATAAATTCAGGATAGTCATATTTCAGATTAGCTTATTTTGTTGTGATGGGAGAGGAATTGTTTTCCTGAATGGATCCTGGAGCTAGATGTTTCCATATAATATGCTACAATGTATGATTATGGTTGTATGTCTGCATCTGTTTGGGATACACATTCACCCCATGTTGACTATTGGCTGCATTGTGCAACATAACATAGAATTCTTTTATTGGCCAAGTGTGATTGGACACACAAGGAATTTGTCTTGGTGCATAGGCTCTCAGTGTACATAAAAGAAAAGATACATTCATCAAGAGTCTATCATAAGATACAACACTTAGGGTACAATAAGCAATCAAATCATACTAGGAAACAGTCAGTATAAATCGTGAGGATACAAGCGACAAAGTTAGTCATACAGTCACAAGTGGGAGGGGATGGGTGATAAGGAGTGATGAGAAGGTTAATAGTAATAGTAATGCAGACTTAGTAAATAGTTGGACAGTGTTGAGGGAATTATTTGTTTAGCAGAGTGATGGCATTCAGGAAAAAACTGTCCTTGTGTCTAGTTGTTCTGGTGTGCAGTGCTTTATAGTGTCGTTTTGAGGGTAGGAGTTGAAACAGTTTATGTCCAGGATATGAAGGATCTGTAGATATTTTCATAGCCCTCTTTTTGACTCATGCAGTATACAGGTCCTCAATGGAAGGCAGGTGGGTTGGAATTGTTTTCTCTGCAGTCCTAATTACTCTCTGAAGTCTGTGTCTGTCCTGCTGGGTTGCAGAACCAAACCAGACAATTATAGAGGTGCAGATGACAAGACTCAATAATTCCTCTGTAGAACTGTATCAGCAGCTCCTTGGGCAGTTTAACCTTTCTGAGTTGGCGCAGAAAGAAAATTTGTGCTTTTTTGATGACATTTTTGATGTTAGGTGCTCATTTTAGGTCTTGTGATATGATAGAACCAAGAAATTTGAAGGTCTCTACTGTTGATACTGTGCTATCTAGTATTGTAAGAGGTGGTAGTATGGGAGGATTTCTCCTAAAGACTATCACTATTTCTACGGTTCTGAGTGTGTTCAGTTCCAGATTGTTCCGGTTACACCACGAGGCAAGTTGTATAACCTCCTGTCTGTATGTAGATTCGTCGTTGTCTCAAATGAGACCAGTCACTGTTGTGTCATCAGCAAACTTCAGTATTTTAACAGACGGATCTCGGATCTCAGTATTTTAACAGATGGATTGTTTGAAATGCAGTCATTGGTATATAGGGAGAAGAGAAGTGGAGAAAGCACACAGCCTTGGGAGGCTCCTGTGTTGATTGTAC